TGATAAATAATATATGACTTCTTTATAATATCCGCGTGCCTGTCTTCCGGCAACATTCTCCTATCAATTTCAAACAAATTGAAACAACGCATATGATTTTATTTTATATTAAGAAAAAAAGGAGTACATATTTTTTTAAACATTTATCTATCTAAAATATTTAATTTAGCATTTCTTGAAGAATGAAAAAAAATACTTGCAACAAATGCCTGTGCTTGATGTTTGAGAAAAAAATATAATAAGGAATCGTAGATTTTCACATTTTCTTGCAAGTAATTTACGGCAACTGCTATACGATTTTTCTACAATCCGTGGTTCGTCGGAATAAATTTCTTGTCGCACATTCGCGTTCTTCATTGCGGGACGTTTTCAGTCTAACTCGGTCGCTCTCTCATGAGACGACCGACAATTTACTGCCGTTACGCGATCTCGCGTAATATCACGGCGGCCGTAAAAACCCGGCGCTTTTCCCCGTAACGTGAAAACTACCCCGTGACAAAGACCCACCGAAGACAAGAAACTTCGGTGAGACTCTGGCAGTTCCCTCTCCTCGAATCGCCATCGGGATGATTCTGTCAAATCGAAAGCGGCGGTTGCAGCGCGACAGGGTTTCGACATCTCGTAGAGACACACAAAAAGGGAAAGACGAAGTTTGTGTGCGCGTTTCTCGAGTATTCTCACCACGGTATTTACCGATATAGCGCTAACGCAAGGCAAAATTTCAAGGAGCGTTAAGGGAAACGTTAAGATATTAAATCTGAGAGCTACGTCGGGCTTTCGGGTTCTCAACTAATTATGGAGTTGAGTGCAACCTTACCTTCCCTCCTTTTCCTGCCATGTGGACCCATCACCAACCAACCCCCTTCCCCCTAGGAGGCCCCTTCCTGACCCGCAATTGATTTAAGACTTCACCCGCAGCTGTGCGGATACGAAATTGGACGGGAAATTTGCCTACCTTAGTTACGCTTCTGCAGTTCCTTTCTATTGATGGTGCAAAGTGCAAGGTTGAAACGAAAATATGAAAATCTGACTTAACATCAGTGGGATGTCCGCAGAATCTTTCAGCGTGTAACAGTAGCGTTCCTCTGTATCTTTGAGAAGAATGTTTTGACGATTGACTTACCTGGAACAAAGAAAATTAAAAAAAAATTAGCAAAAAGGATATATTTTTAATTATATTTTTAATTAATTAAAATACGCAATTAATTTAATCAAATGATTATAATTAAAAAATAATAAATTATATAATAGCTTAGAAAATAGTTTATGTAATAAAATTATATATATATAGGAAGCAATAAAATATTTAAATATAGAATGAGATATTATATAAAATAGATTAAGCGTTAAATAAGCATAATAAAATAATACGTTATATAGCAACACTAACGAACAAGGAAATAATATCGCGAGAAACTTGATTATACAGTTGACGAGATTATTGTATAAATGTCTTACATATAAGCAAGTATATGTTAAACGCATGTAACGAGTGTATTTACATTTCGTTGTAGCAGACCTCGGTCGTAGGGAGTAATTTAGGTAATATCGGAGGGATAGTGAGAGAGCGAGAGAGAGAGAGAGAGAGAGAGAGAGAGAGGAGAGAGAGAGAGAGAGAGAGAGAGAGAGACAGACGAGCTCTGGCCTAGTGTCAGTTCACGACGATTTATAAGGTATTACGTTCTCTAATGACCGGTTTAGGTAAATGACCCGAATTCCTTAGTAAATCTCCAACGAGACGGACTCTGAAAGTGGGGGGCCCCCGGGTTAACTTCCGCTTGGTCGCCCCAATTATCCAGCGCGTTCTAATGATCTAAACGATTGCGCCACGACGGGACATGTCTCTCCACGTTAGCCTAGGTCAGCGAGGATAGACGCTTTTCTCGAGCGCCCAGCGACGAGTTTACGTTGTTTGTGCCGGAAAAAAAAGGAAACGGAAAACGAGCGATCGTAATTTCTGGAAAGCTTTTCCAGATAATGGGATTCTCAGGACCTAATAAAGCTTTTCTCGTTCTTTCCTTCTCTGTATTTTACCACCTCTCTACACATCGAGAGTACGCTGCGCTAACATCTTTTAAAAACAATCTTTGTGGAATTTAATATGCCAGACAGATCGTTCTTAACGCGATTCTCAAGGTTGTCTCTTCTCGATGTATGAATATTGAATCATAAAGCAACAAGATAAGCGAAAGAATGTTTCAATAAATGATTACATAGATCAAGAAATATTATTATGCAAAGTCGACATATTTTCTCGATATCTTATCGCGTCAACTAATCTAAAAAGCCATGACGATAAAGCGAAATAACGTCTTATAAACACAATCTACTATATTCTTCTTGGATATTTTTATTTACAAGTAATATAGCATTTAAAAAGTAATTAAGTAATAAAATCGCTTAAAATTTTCCATAGAACATTTTCCAAATAAACTTTTATGAACAACGAATAATCGATATACTTAATTAACTTTGACAATAATAAATTTAACTTAAATTTCTGTAGTATTTTTTTCATGCTTTTTTTTAGACCTACGGTTTGTTGAAAGAATAAAAAGATAATTATACAATTACAAAATTCGCTCGAAATGGAATTTTTAGATAGACACGGATGAGATGGAAAAGAGACGCGTAGAATGCTTGAGCTATAGATATTAATCCTATAATTGGCCTACAAAGTGATTTATGCGGCTCATAAAAGTATCCTGGCGTTATTTATATCATAGTATGCACGTCTCACAGCATCCACATACGTGGACCACCCTAATTCAAGCGGTTTCCTGAACGATCATTTGTCTAAAAGTAAGATTGTGCAGAAATGAAACAAGGGATCGAAAACAATCGACTGCATATTTGCATGTAATTATGAGCGCGTATTATACATAAAAGAAAACCTCTAAGAAAAAATCTCTATAATCTCTGATATAATGTATAATCAATACATGACGTATTTTAAAATTATTTATATATTTTCATAAATTACAAATTCTCGTTATGCGTAATGTAAAGTAAGTGAATTTGAGATAAGATAATTTGAGATTAATATGGAAGAGAGTAGAGCAGAGAATATATATATATATATCAATTTATTGCCACTGCCATATGGCCATTACGTATTGCGCCCGAATATGCTTTTAAGCCAGGTATGCCGAAGTGCGGCAAAATGCGCTAAAGTCCGCCAAATTACGATACAGTGCGCCGTACTAACTGTGGCACTCCCATGGCAGCCAAAGTAAACGAGATTAAGGCTGCCAAAGTACGCTAGAGCGCACTTTATTAGAGTAGTCAAACTATTCCGAATTGGGCTCTACTCTCTGACACGTTATAGCTTATTTTGGTGTATATTTGTGAGTACGCTCCAAATTGAATAGAGAAATATACCATTGAATATGGAGAAATAAAATGCTGACTATTCATGTTTGATCGATGATAAAGATGTTTTTCCAAAAATATTATTCGCAGAGTCTCTGCTGCTCTTGCGTATTAAAAGAGCTCATTAAAGCGTGGCCCGAGAACGAAAATATCTCGACATCGATCATCGCGAACGGCCGAAACTTTATAAGCCAACTTCATTATTCAGCCCGTTAGGATCGTGACGCGTCGATCGGCAACCGAAAAGCTTGTACAAATATTTAGCCGACGATCGACGGCGGCCTCCTCCGTCTATAAAAGGTGGCGCGCCATAACGTACTGCTGCGCGGCTTCGGAGCCATTTGTAAAATGTCCCTCGCCGATTCCGCAATTTTAAGAGACGTATCGGTCTCGTTTACCGTGCACGCTGTATTTTACGACTGCTCCCACTCCCGCGCAAGTGCTCCTCGCCGCAGCCGATATATTTCATGCAGATGTTGCCCGAAAGTAATCGAGGTAACTCGATACGGATTCTACCCTTAAACGAAGGAACTTTTCGAGACCTTCGGCAGCGTAATAACGATCTTTCCTAGAAATCGTTCCATATCCCTCTGTCGCAACGTAGACGAAACGCCGATCGTTTGCACCGGTCCGTTCGACCGTTAAGGTTTGTCGAGGAATACCAATGATCCAAGAAAATTTCGAGAAAAAAGGAAACAAGAGGGACCCTGGCTTAGTCAAAGTATATCGAAGTTTTATATATTTCTAAACGACACATCGAGTATCGAAAAACGAAAAATATTGGCCATCATATTTCAGAAAAGTTTTATAACGTAATGCAAAAGATTTTTATCTTTGAGTTGTAATAATAATTGTCACTTAACTCAGATTAAAAAAAGCGCTAAGAAACACAAATTGAAAAACATATACTATAATTATAATTATTTAAAACATAAATTATCTGAATCAACTTTAAAAGAGATAGATTTTCAAAATTAAAAACAATAGATTATTTATTTAAAATATATATGTAAAAGTATCAGAATATAAATCATAACTGCTTATTTCAAAATCTTAATTAACCGTCGATCATAAATATTCTGCCAATTAAAAATATTAATTCTGTTATTAATGCTTTGCGTTATAATAGTGTTGACTGGAATGTCACCGCAAGAATCGATATAATAAAGCTGGAATTTTAATTTCATTTATCCTGAAAATAGAAATTGTCTTCTGTTTTATTTTCGACGATTCTCATAATAAAAAATCAACAAAATCATTAAATATCAATAATATAAAATCATTCATAATTATTCAATGTTTTTCGCATTATTGGTTATTTTATTTTTACATAAAGTATCTTTAGTCAATCATATATCATTTTAACGATGGATTAATTATTGTACAATTACATCAGAATTGATGTGACGTATTGATCAGTAAATAATGGTTCGCGAGATAGAATAAAAATAATGTAATGTATATTCTGATATACATATATTAAATATTTCAACGAAACAATTCAACAGCGACTTAACGAGAATTTATCACCGTTTTCGCGATTTACTATCTCAGAAGCTCGTTTCCTTTCTGCCACTTCATCCGCCGATTCTAATCCAAAGTTCAGTTTGCGTGCGCATAAATACCGACCTCCATGTTCCGCGCTTCTTTGTGTTTGCGTGTATATATGGCGTGCACGCGTGCATGCGTTCGTGCTTACCGCAATGAAATCGATACGAGTTCTTTCGACGACTTCCTTCGAAATGCAACCTAGGGAAAAAGGGCGGCTCTCCATCCCCAAGGGTGGTTGCTACTCACATCACCATAAAAATGACGCTCGTTTGCGAGATCGATCACGTACTTATGTACGTAATCACGTGACAATCGTCTGCACTGTTTTTAGGTATGTAAATGTAATCGTGATTCATATTTTACGATTGTTATATATAATTATAAAAAATTTGCCACTTAAATACCCTCCCCCTTCTTGTATTCGATAATCTGATCTATACATTTTACATTTTCATTTCGTGTATATCTAGTTCAATTTTTTAATTTTGCAAGCAGAAGAATTAAGTCTTCAAAAGAATTTTTTTGTTGCAGCTTCTTTAATTGAATATCATAATAAGCTTAAAAATTAATGATCCGCTTTAATTTTACATAATTTTGAAGTATGACATGTATAACATGTAAAATATGTGTGCTGTAGAAATTTTGCTCTAAAATTTGTAAGAGAAACATAATTAACTCGAAAATAGCTAATTCATTAATCAGAATAATTAGATACTGATACATAAACTACATTTTATTTTCAATCTATTTAAGCGTTATGCTCTGATGATTTCACAACTTTACATCATAAAAAGAACATTGACTTATAGTTATCAATTTTTCTAGTAAATAAAAATCTCTCTTTCTTAATATAATATTAAAGTTAATTTAAAGTTAATTTAAAATAAATGACAAAGTATAAGATTATTATACGTTTTGTAAACAATGATAGTAAATTTAGGAAACTTCCCATCTTACACAAGTGGTAGAATTATTCACCGATCATTCATCATCGATGTATCATTTGAAAACAACGCAGAAAAATGCATATGCTCTATTCATCAACTTAATTATGCTGTATTTTTAAAGACGATGGTGCAATATCGAGATATTGTTATTTAAACACTGTTCACATTCCTTACAGTCGTTCATACATATTCCTATATTCGTTTTTACATGAAGGCCGTTAAAATTACACGATCGCGGTGATAGAAGTTGTCGACCAACGAATATTACGCGCGTTTATAGTACGGCGTAAATCACGAATACGATATGAGAAATATTAATGACTTGATACAAAGTCCTTTCGCATAAGTTGCAGATACTGGATAATCTATACTTTTGTTTTCCTTTACATAAAGCCTCATGCTACGCCTCTTCAATGAATCATTTCGTTTATGAGGAATTAACGCGAGCCTCCTTGGATCGTCTGAATGGGTCTCGAAAGTTTGTAAACCTTCGATCGTTATCCCGCTCATAAACATGCACGCTTTCGGAGAAACGCTCCGAGTATGAATGATGCGCGTAGAATTTACACATTTATAGCCGATCTCTCATGTTTAAAATCAAAACTATTTTCGCTAGAGTAAATGTAAATTACGTTGAGCGATTCAGTATTTATTAACCTAACGATTAATCATAAATATATTAATTTCAAAAAATATTATATGATTAAGCAAAGATATTTTAGTTTTCTTTACATTTTGAAGAAAATCGCGATAAGTAAAAATTCAATTATAACATGGATCTCATTGTGAGATGTAATATATACAAGATAAATAAAAATAAAATATTTATAATATACATTTATAATATACATTATCTTTTTCCTCTTTGGTAGGCGTATGTGATCAGTTAACAAAAATTCTATTGGAACAATTTTCTTTAATATATCAAGTTGAGCACATAATTATACTGTTGACAATTGCTTTCCTCTCACAATCATAATGAACAGCTGCAACAAGAATAGAAAGAGAGTCTCACATGCACGCGCGCCGTTATTACGATATACAAAGCAAAGGTCGATTAAATTATCGCCTCGAAACGAGACGCGTTGGTCGATTACATTAACAAGACAATTATACGAATGTATATAATTAGCCCTATCTACGAAGGAAGCACATTCTTGCGGGATGACACATTAAGACGAAAAAACAAACAACGCGGTTTCGTTTTGCGTGTATATGTCCCGCACGAACATTTATATCACCGATAACAAAGAGACAAGAATAATGACAAAATGACATGTAACATAAGAATCGTGAAATTTCGATGTCAAAGTATATCGATAATTTTGCGCATATTTGCTTCTATATCATCAATTCATTAATATGTATTTTGTGTCAATATCAATATTTTATCGGCATCAATAATATAAAAATGCATAATATATATGTACATTATTTTAGTTTCCTGTAAAGTTTTATTAATTTATAAATAAAATATTTAAGTCTCTCTTCAATAACTTGTCACATCATTTTATTATCGACAACGACAAAAACACGAAACTAAATGTTGTATGGCATTAATATTTCACTGCAAATATTGAAATAAAAACAAAAGTCCCCGTGCCTTTTTAAAAATAATTATCTCTCTAATAAACACATTGGTTTTGTATTCTGCGTGTTACGCCGCGCGCAAACATCTGCCGGCGCCATGTACAATAAGAAGAGCCGCGGGAGCGCGATCGTGTAGAAGAGATCGCTTTTATGCGAGTTTTACGTAATCCACGTGTGTGCGCGCCATTGAATGCACCGGTTAGGTGTTTACATCGGCTGATGCGTAACGGCAAAACATATGGTGCGCGCACGCCTACGCGCGTTCATCTCGTACCGAGGCGTACAAATAGGATGAACGATGTTGCGTCGATCAACGGCACGTCGTTTTCCCATGCTGCAATTCTATTAATCCCGTAGCGGAATTTTCCCAACACTGTTCGCGATAAGAATTATGCTTACGTTTCTTGCCACGAGTTACTGCAACCATTTCATTAAATGTTCATTTTAATTCATTTGAGTTTAATTAATAACGCACTGAGAAGCTTATTTAATAAATTGTTATTATTGTGAAATTTCGTATGACTAACTAATCGTGAGAAATATGAATTTTTCATGTATATACAAAATTATTCAGTATTTCTTATACGTTTTTTTTCAAATATATTTTTTGTTCCAATTTTCTCCAATAATTCACGACAATTATATATATGCTAAACATTTATAGTTGTAAGCGAGATATTCTCGTAATTAATCTTGAATTGGCTCGATCGAATCGAAGCTCAAGTCATCGGCGCGTAAAAGTGCAACACGAAACGATCTCTCGCGGGGCCTGGCTTTTGATTCTTATGCCCCGTCTCTCTCACGGCAATACATGAACAGCAGCCGACAAGCTACCTTTCCCATTATGCACTTACGTAACCGCGCGCTGTACATATATACACACGCGCAACACCGCCAATGCCAGTCAGGTATTTACACGGTACGCCGCGTACGGACTTAACGCATTCCGCCGGCGTTCACACACCCACGCGCGTATGTGCAACGCGCCGTATCCTATCCCTCTTCCTTGCCTCCTGCTCCCCAACGTTTTCCGCACATGCACTCGGTCGCCGGTTCCGTGGGACACGAAAGAGAGCGTTTCGCTTCGCTCCGCTCGCGCGCTATACGGGATGTTACAATGAGCGTGACGTCACTTCCGGAATATCCGGCGCAGACCGTGAGGAGGAAGCTAGGTCGGTAGGTTGGTAGGTGGCGAGAGATGGATCAGCCGCTTGCATATAGGGTGTCCGAATATTTTTCCAGCCCAGTTGATTTAAATTCAGAATCAATCTTTTTTTTTTTTTGGAATGAAGATATTTTATGGACAGAGCATTTATTTATCGCGCGGATTTTAATGAATTGTTAATTTTAAACATTCCGATAATAGAATCTTCAATGGTTGTTATAGAATAAAATTTAATTAAAATAAACAAGATTTTCTCGTGTTAGGTGCTATTTACAGTTATTAAATTTCGAGTCTCAATTAATAGAAATTATTTATTTCAGATACTAAATAACTTTGTAATTATAAACGTTTCATTCTCAAAATAACTGATACTTTTTCATTTGTCATCTGATATCTAATTAGTATTTCCTTTTTAGTTTTCTAGTTTTGTAGAAGAAAATATCCAGTGGTTTCCAGAATATCTATATGCACTGTGTGATAAAGAAAAGGACTATATTGTATATGGTATTCGTTTCGGTTCCCTATGTCGTTATGGTATCTTTTATTTTATTCATTGCCGATTGCATATCGTGGAGTTACGATAACGTTTTCTTCAACATTGTATAATACCTATACGTAACTCGTCCATGAGTAACCATAGTAAAAATACGATATTAAGAGGTATATCGTTTACAAGGTTACAGGAAGTATATTACCGGAAAAGTCTGTTTACGAGACATATAGCAATGCACAATCTTACAATGATATTTTTCTTAAAAAAAAAATAGTGTTTCTCTTCATTCTCAGCATAGAAATATTTGTGTCTAAGTTCTTATCTGAGAAAGAAGGAAGTGTACAATGCATAATATTACAAAAAGTATAATATTTATCTCTGTTAAAGATAATAATTCTGATTCAAATCTAATTTATCCGATAATCGATAATAAATATATATTTATCCAAATAATAAATTATAAATATTATATAATATATCTCAAGTCTCTCGTCTCTCGAGAAAAAACTATAAGCTTCGCATCGTCCAATAAATTTTTCAGTATCTCACTGGGAATGCATTTAATTTAAGCATATTCGAAAGAGTGCACGCTTAAGTTGCAAACGGTCCCGGTGTCCTTCGTTCACCGGAAATTACGAAACGACGTTACTTTCCGCGTTTCCGTCGAACGTAATGCAAATACGAATCTTGTCGACACCGTGCCCATTTCCGTGGATTAGGACACGGTCGTACATGGCGAGGGGTTCGAGAATCGAAAGAGGGATATCCGTCCGCTTAACTAAACGGCACTTCGTGCAGCCGTGGAACGGATCGAAACTCCTGGCGCTAAGGATTAAAGTAAGCATCGATTGGAACGCGGCGGGAATTATCCCTTTCCAGCAGAGGAATTACGGAATCAAATGGAAATGGCGGGAACAAGCCGGGATGATATCGATATATAATTTTATCGCATAGTTGGATAAAAGAGTACATTTAAAAATTCTATAATAAATGTTCCCCGTCTTTCCTCTCTATATTCGTCGAGACATTATATACGTCATTCACGCTTTCTATCGAAGTTATATATAACACATTTTCACAATACATACTATTTTACTCGAAAGTAAACAAGTTAACAGTGAACAGGGAAATTACGGCACATAACACGTTAAAGTTAACAGTTTATTGTTCGATTTTCCCTCTTTGTTTAGGTAAATTAATAATTAAATTCATGAAATGTCTCTTATAGCGCCGTGTATTAAACTCGAAAAAACTTGACTTATTTATAAAAAATGTGGTGTATTTATAACCGCAAAGTTATATCGATAATCCCCGTAGCGCAGGTAATCCAAACTTTGGCAAGAAAGTTTTAACGATTTCACTGCCGGGCAAAAATTTCCGGCGGGATATGAGAAATCACCGAAACTTTTCCGCCCAATCCAAATTGCTTGGCACGTCATAAATGATCGACAACATTTTCGAAATCCGGAGAAAGATTTTAAAGTCTACAAGCATATTTATCCTTCGGATAAGTATTATTTATCCACAAGCCTTTATAAAGCAATTTTTTTTTCTATTGCTAGGAACCTAAAAAAAGATCTCCAAATATTCGGAAATTATTTACGAATCACCTCAAAATTATCAAAATAACAAATTTTCGAGCACAAATGTCACCATATTGGATATCATGACCATTCGAAATTTATTTTAGTATTCAGTGGCGGATTCCGAAACCAATACAGAATGTAAAATTCTACCGCACACGTTTCGCCACGTAGTTCCTTCCCAGCGATCCGGAACACGAGAGATTTTACTCAAGTTTTCATAAAAGTGCGCAACCTTGCGCCGGCAAATCGATTTATTGCTCGAGGTGGAATATCAAGAGACTTTTACCGGCTCGCAATTGCCTCGATCCATAGAATAATATTCCAATAAACATTCAGTTACTTTCGATCTTTTTTCCTTTTTTTCTCGTTTATTTTTCTTTTGATACAGAAGAGGCAGAATACTGGACAATAATAAAAATGCCACGATCGCATGCACAGTATACTTTCCGACATGACAGCAATAAATTCAAATAACGCGCATATTTCATTTCATATCTTCCATCAAGTGCCATCATGAAGATACGATCACGATTGCTATTCTTTCTGCTGATAGTATCGTTTTGAGCAAGCCACGTACTGAATTTCGATCCTTTGCTCTCCACTCTTTTTCCCTTGCACGCGAATTTCAAAGTTTGATTTTTCTTAGTCTTCATTACGAGGCATAAAGCGAGACATTAAAAATCATGACAATGCAAAGCTTTTTTCTTAACGAAGAAGTAATGATTTACGAGTGACTATCAAAAGCTCGCGATGCAGTACACTCTGCATCGTAAAGTCAAACTACAATGAATTAAAGCTCTTAACCTCTTGCACTCCGAAACGACCTAGGTTAAACGAATTCCGATCGAGTTAATAGTTTTCGTGTTGCTCCTTTGTGACCTATCATCATATCGTAATATAAAAAAATTTAATTTATCTAAATTAGCATCGTCTCGCATCGGTGCAATTGGCCTTTATCTTAAATCGCGGGCATCGGTTATAACCGGTTGCCAGAGGAAATACCGTATTCTCGCGTGATGCTAAAAGTTTGAAGCAATGACATCTCGAAAAGGAATATTCAAACGCTAACTCGCTTATGCAACCTGAAGCCAGCACGCGCAACATTTGTACGCACACCCGTAAGAAACGGCCCTATATATACATACGCAGCTTCCTCCTCCTTAATTGTGAATACAAGTTCTATGCCCGCAGGTCGCAGAGAAGCTAATCGTCTTAACGGCAACGGCGGTTAGTAAATAGCCGGAGATATTGACCGCCCTGCACGTACACGCGGAGCGAACCGATAAGCATGTCGTAAAGCAGTTAACGAGGAACGCCATAGGCCGACCACCGATCCATCGCTAATTACGGATGCACCCAGTGTCACGATTACAACACGCGGAGATGTTCGGCTGGCGCGAAACGATCCGGTAAGTTCTTACTGACGCCGAGACTTCCGGCTAATAACACGTTTCTATGGGATTCAAGATATAATTATTATCAGCGCTGTGTCATTGCAAGATGAATTTAAACATAGACAAACAACAAATATATAATAAGCTTTATTTAACGTAAACTACCGATAATCTGTCAGTGCATTATTGAATTTCTTTAATGATAAAATAAATTAGTGTTCCATTCCGTGCATTTAGTAATTTCACGTATTGATAACAATATTTTTTTCTAATATTTAAAATTTCAGGAGAAACCGCTATTTTTTTAAATATGTATAATTTCAGCATATTGTAAATTATTCAATGTGTACGAATTTTAGACAGAATTCAAATAAGACCAATGTACTTTTGAAATTTGGTATTAAAATTATGTCAATAAAGATTTACGTGTTTAGTAAAATATTTATGCACAACGCGGTGTATACCGCTAGTAAAGTTAGCAGTTGAATCTATCAAATGATGTTTTCACATCATATGTATTCCACATTTAGTATATTACATGCATTACGCAATTACAAATTTAAATAAAAAAAAGGATTATGTTTGTATGTGTGCAAGTGTGTATTCAATGCGCGTTAAAAGGATCGGTAGTAGCGTTTGACATTATCAGCTTGAGCGCGTGCATAATTGATTCGTCGCGATAATCCGCGAACGGACACGTATGCAAATCATAACTCTATAAAATAGATAGAAAATCTAATTTTTGAAAAAGAAAAAGGGATTCGAATTTTACTCTTTCAAACCTATATTTTAATAAAATAAAAAATAATAGTAAAAATATATGCGCCTCTCAAAAATACATAGATTGCAAATAAGTTGCATAATTTATTATATATGTATATGTGTGTGTGTATCTGTTATATCTATGTATAAAAGGATACATAATAAGCCTGTATCCAATTTAAAACGTCTATCGAATGAGATAAATAATTACAAGTGAGAGTAATCGATATGAGCTCAGTGGATGGATTCGCTATTGTTGGCGATTCGTTGGCAGTTCGAATTCGAACCATACTTGCGTGACAAGAAAGTCCTCAGCAAAGCTTTTGATGGCATTCTCTAATCAACTTTAATCTTAACTGCGCGGCACTCTCGTTCGACACACATTCGATGTACTTTGGACAAGCGATAACGCGAAATACGACGATCGTTCAATACTGCCGATGCGCAATCGCCCCATGGAATTCGATCTTGATGAGAGAAACGTGAAGCGATCTAGCACACGTCCAAAGTATTGGGAAAGCATTGTGATATCGCTATTTTATAAAATGACTATACACGAGTGAAAGAAAACGCAAACAATGGCCGAGCGACCTTCGAACGTCAAAACACAAACAGTGTCGCATTTTCAAATTTAATATCAAAACAAAACTAGTTAATCATTTTATCTTAACATGTATCTCACTATCGACGCGAGATAATCTATATATATATATATATAAAATATTATACTCGTTATCCAATATTTTTCTGAGCATCCTCAATATTATATTATTGTTTGAAAATAATATTTATTCTCATTAACTTAAGATTGTAACTCGAATTGCATTGTAATAATATAGTTACCGCGATAGTATTAACGGTGGTCGACTCATTCCGTTCCACTCACGATATGTTTCATCGCTATTATATCTGCACAGAACAACCGTCCCGACGCCACAAATGACTGAGCGCAACACGTTGTAGACGAGCAACGTAAACGACTAAACATCTCGACTTCTAATTCTATAATTAGGACACAATATTCCGATTTCAAAATTTCGAGTTTGCAGATATGAAACCAATGAAAATCATAAAATATAATTTTATTACTAATTATTAACAAACGCTTTACAATATTAATTAAATTGCAAAAAATATTATTTCGAAGACGCGAGATTAATTTTCTCTTTCAAGAGTGTTCTACACAATAAAAAAATATTAAACGCTTTGCTCGATTCCTTCCTTAATAGACGCTTGCTCTTTTCGAGCCCGCGCGATTATCTTTCAATTTTCGCAAAAACCGCCGTGTTCGACGTGTATGCATGCAAAAGTGATATTAATTATTCGTTCTAAACGGCGGCGGCCGCCGTTAGAAGAATCCCTCAGCCCATTTGTCACTCTGCTATCGATTTCAATTTATCTTAATTGCCCGCGCGATTAGCTCTCTCTCTCTCACGCCCGAAACACACGACGAGCGGCTTACAAAACGGGTCCCGGAATACAATTGACATTGCATTGTGTCATTACGCGCTCGACGCAGCGGTTCCCTTAAACACTTACTCGTCGCCCGATCGTTCATTAATGAGCTAATTGCGAATGCATGGAATTAGGGTAGGCCGACCTCAAGCCGCCGTCGCCGCCACCCTCCCACCCACCCTCTGCGCGGCCGATGCGTATCGATGCCACCCCCGAGGGACGAAAGACCGCTCTTCTCGTCCCTGCATCCTTCTCCCTTTCCCAATATCATTCGCCGGGTTGGTTTCCCCTTTTATGGCGCATAACCGTGGCCATTTTGAGCCGACCCGGCGAGTAATTCAATTTATAATTGAGCGAAAACCACCGGCGCTGGTGCCATTGCGTCTAGCCGGCAGTCTGTCGGTGCAACTCTCCGTACGGGTCATTAGTACGTCGGCATATCGACCGTCGTTTCCGCGCGTAGCCCGCCTGACCCCGCCGTTACCACTCTCGGTGCGAGTAGTCATTAGGAAATAGTTCCACATTCTCCTCCGTCCGTTCATCCTCTTCCGTCTTCTCGCTACGGCCCACTCTCGCCGCGAAAACTCGCCCGAGTCGTTCGATCGGCAGCGAATCGGTCGGATTGACGATCGCCGATAAAACGAAAAAGTACGGTACAGATATCTCATATATTTGAAAAGGAATCGGATCAGGGAAAATTTCGACGATCAAAAGATAGATAAATCGAAATAGAAAAAAATGGTTACATGAGAAATCGAATATATGTCTCTCGATGTGCTACTATTTATGTCCGGAATCTATTACGAATTATTGACTCATGTAGATTATATCGATTTTTGGTCTACCATGTTCATTTATTCGATGATGCCATTCGCGTGCGAAGTATTGTAAGTGTATATATGCGGAAATTCGCCAACATAGTTTTTTAACGAAATCCTGTTTTTTTTTTTTTTTATTTTTCTGTAAACGTATCTATGAAAGCAAATAAAGCGGTGAAAGAAATACGAATCGGTAAACGCAATAATGATTTTGTGCAGAGCGAATGCATTTTAAGTTAATAATGACATTTCTCTTTAACGATGAAAAAAATGTAATAACTTACATGAATATGCAGCAGCTATTCATTAGTACGCGATAATTAGTTTTACGATACAATACCTATTATCCTAGTGAACTTGATAAAAGCGACCTATTAATACATCATCTATTCATGGCTCGCGATAGATTTTATAGTTTAACTGAATTAAGATCGCACACACGCACACAAACGAGCAAAAATTGATGCAGTTGCAGCTAGTGACGTGAAAATAACGTATATACATTGAAAGAAGAGCTAATATTCCGTTCTTGGATCGCAAGTTGCAACACGTGAAAGGACAAAACCTTCGCACGGACCGACTCTCCCTTTCTTCGTCACGTCGTCCGCTGCACCTTTTACCTCGCCTCTCATCCCGCAAACAGGCAATGAATCAAAGCCGAATGAGCATTACCGCGACCGTATTGTCCGCGCAATAGAATTTAAACCAGGAGCTCTCTCCTTTCTCCTCTAAGGAGAAACTTGGTGCGCTCGGCTCACTGGGCTCTTCATCTCACTCTATCATGGTCCGCGGATTCTCCGCACCCTTCTTTGCCCTTCCAGCCGCGGGAGTCCCTATCCTTCTCCATCGTCTGCTTTACTCTCGCCGTGGCGTTTCTATGGAAACGGCGCGAGGACCAAAAGCATCGGTATATATCAGGAGAAACGAAGTTGCTCGTAGATGTAGGAAGAGGAGCGAGAAAGACGGATATAGAAGAAGGACGAAAGGATGAACAAGGAGAATGCGGGAGTCCAAGGGCAAATGGTGGATCAGAAAGAGATGCAACGATGCCGCTGCGATATGAAAACGTGAGAGCGAGGGAAACACCACCGAGAAAGGACGACACCGAGAGGACGACACGCCGGGTACCGCGTTGGAGGCCTCGGCAAGGGAAACTTTGTAGACGCGACATTTCCTGCAGTCTCACAGGCCATCGAACCGAGAAAGCGAGCCTCCGCCGGACAGAGAAACGTTCTCCAAAGTTACCGGAAATGGCAATGACCACGCGCTACGATGTACGTGCTCCGCGAAGGCTGCTAAGTAATGTAAACACCGTGTAAATCTACTGCGCGAACGGGTCGGGATGTTTCAATCCAGGCGAGTGCATTTTAGATACTGCACCAGCCGCGTTTCTACAATTTTCAGACCGACTAGACATAACTGTATTTTTTTATTATTACTACCACGAATGTATTATTAACCCCGAGCGTGAACAAAAATTATCTTGCATTTTTTTATTTTATACTGGTTGCTTTACGAATAAAGTTTTCATTCGAGTGTATTAAAAAAGATTTGTATTTAAAAAAAAATAGAACGATCTAAAAGTATATATTGTCATAAAATTAAATTCTTTCACCATAAAAAATTTCAATTTGCTAATTGTTACATGTAATAAATTAGATATGTCGTCATATTTTGTAAATTATTGATATTATAGATAAAGAATATGTATGAATCTATTTTATTTAGTTTTTATTTTATAGTATTTCACAGGATTACATTAATTAACTGTACCTGAATGCAAAAATATGGATAACCGATAGAGATATCACGAATTAGACAGCGTGTGCGCGGATTTGATATTCTTTAAATAGACACCAAATTAACCAATATTTCTAAAATGTCGATATTTCCTTGTTGTCTCTAATCTAGATATCTCTTCATGATAGCCAGAAACTGAACATGTGTGAACACGCGTGTATGTGCGCCGCGGATTCGATG